GGCTTTCCCTGTGCTCTCCTTACCTGCCTAAAGTCTGACGCTCCAAAAATACCTCAATTGTCACGAATCCTGATTAACCAGGGAAGATTCACTCAGATCATAGGAACCAGGGAAGATTAACTCGGATTACGAGAGATTAGAGGTTGACACCACCCAGAGGATCACCTATTCTGTCTGCATTAACAAACTTGATTCACCATACATGTCCTCCGTTCACCCTCCCATAACTTGTGTTACAGCTGCTGCTTACCATCCTCTCACCCGCCCCCAACCCTCTATTCATTCCTTTCAGTAGCTCAGGATGCCATGTAAGCTTTAATCATCTGACTTCAACTTCTTAGTCTCGTATTTTGTGGGACTCCTGTACATAATTAAATATCGTTTTTCTCCTACGGACAATGTTTAGTTACCCGAAAAAAATGGGAGATTCTTAAGTACCAACAAAGAATGAAAATCACAAGTGGGTAGTCTGGCAAAGAAAAGTTGATGAGAGATTCTACTGTTAATGTCGTGCTAATATGACTTGAATAATTTCCGTATGCCAGTTCAATGCTTTACATGCACATCCTGTTTACCCTGCAGTAATCTGTTAATTTGTCTTATGGTAATTTAACTCTTAGTCTTAACAAGGTACCTAGAAGGATGGAGGGAAGCCATTTTTGGCTCCCCTACACCACTATTCTATCCGGTCTCTTCACTTCTGAGCACATGTCGGGTGTACAAATATATATATACACACACACACATTTGTGTGTATATATGTATACATGTATGTATGTGTATATATGTGTGTACATATATATTTTAAAGTGGCCCAGTCCTAACTTCTCAACTCCCACAGAACGTTCACTCGCCAGGTAAACAGAAGCCAAATTATCCCCAGTTTGCAGGTGAGCACACGGAGACACGAGGACAAGAACCCGATCCAGGACCGGTTACATCGCAGTTGGAAAGGCTAGAACACAGATGCCCCCTCACTATATGCGCCGCGACCATCTGGATGCAGAGGCGAACTAAGGACTGGGTGGGAATGGAAGCGAGGCCCTTTGAGGAAGAGGAGGGGGCGCAGGCCAAGCCGGGCAACTTAGGAAGCACAAAGTAGAGGCGCATGCCATCTTGCTAACTCTGGACTCTTCCGGTCTCGCCCCAGTCGTTTCTGTGGTTTTCGCTAAACGCCCCAGCCGACCGCACCAGCCACTCTCCCCGTGCCCCAGTACCAGCTGGTCCGGTTCTCTCGGTATCCCGCTCTCTCCTGGAAAAATGGAGGCGCGAATCCTGCCCAATCGACCGCTCCGAGCGCACATTCACTGCGCACGCTGAAAGGGCGCCAAGCCGACCGCTGCGCTATCGATCGGTCGCACTCTCGCTTGCTTTTCTCGCCATCTTACTTACTGGCACGTTCAAAAGGTTAGTTCACCCCCTCGGACTTTATCTCCAATGCGACAAGCTTGACGTCAAGGGGCTGCTGCCTCACCGATAAATGGCCGACCCCAGAGAGTACCCTGGGGCTGGCACTGCCACGGGTCTGGCTGGCCGTTGGCTCCACCACTTCCGGGGTCTCAAGGAGCAAGTGCGCCTGCGCGCGGTGTGCGCCTTAAACGCGACTCAAGGCGTCGGGTTTGTTGTCAACCAATCACAAGGCAGCCTCGCTCGAGCGCAGGCCAATCGGCTTTCCGGCTAGAGGGTTTAACTCCTATTTAAAAAGAAGAACCTTTGAATTCTAACGGCTGAGCTCTTGGAAGACTCGGGTGCTTGGGTCGCAGGTGGGAGCCGACGGGTGGGTAGACCGTGGGGGATATCTCAGTGGCGACGAGGGCGGCGGGGACAAGGGGCGGCCGGCCGGAGTGGCGGAGCGTCAAGTCCCCTCTCGGTTCCTCCGTCCCTGGGTGTCCTTGGCGCTACCCTGTGCCCGCCCAGTGCCTTTGCATCCGCTCTTGGGCACCGAGGCGCCCTGTAAGACACTGCTTGTTACTTATTACAGCTAGAGGTAGAAGGGGTTTGTTGAGTGGTGTTGACACGCGCGGGAGGGGTGGGTGAGCGTCAGATTGGATTTTGTTCTCGGAGATCACCTGGGTAAGAAAAGCACAGAAGGTCGCTGCTGTGTTGGAGTTCACGTTCTAGTGGGTAGGGAGTCAGACGGTAAGCGTACGGAGAACTTGCAACTCGGGTGGGTGTTATAAAGGAAAAGCAGGAGTGCGGTTTAACGGGGGCCGCTTTAGATAGAATAGCCTAGGAAAGGCCCTTGTCCTGGCTGGATGAGTGGGTGAATTGATGAATGAGAACCTCCTTGCAGAGGCCTTCCCAGTCCGTACTTCTCAGACCGTAGACCTTGGAGTAGTTATATCGGGATAACTTGGAGAGCCTTGTTAAAAATATAGCTCCACTGAGAGCCCGGAAAATCTCAATCTCTGAGGGATAGGACCCAGGTGTCTAGTTATTAGCAAACTCTCCAGATGATTCTTTGATTTCATTGAGAACTAGGGATGCAGACCGGTGCATGCAAATCGTCTGGGGACGTTAAAATGCAGAATCTGTTTTCTTAGACCTGTGGTTGGGCCTCAGAGTCTCCATTTCTAAGATCCGTCCGGCTGAGGTAGACGTAGCCACTGTCGTTAACTCTCGTAATGTCTCTTCCTCTTCCTTAACTTCCTTGTCCCTTGAATTAAACGTTTTTCAGCAACCTACTCAATTCGTCCTTCCCTTCATCTCTGGAGACATGCACAGGTCTGAAGGAGGAAGGAATAAACCCGTATAAACCTCCTGTGCTATTAGCCTAACAGCTTTTCTATTCAGAGTTGGCAGGATTTCTGGTTTGAACTGAATAGATCCTGTGAAAGTCATCTGGTTGCAGATTAGAGTCACCTGAAGGGCAGTCTTACTGGCGTTGTCTCCAGAATTCTGGATTAGAATCTTATTCCATTCTGCTTGTTACTCAATTTCCCTAGAAAGAAAAGTGGAATAAATTGGAGCAAACGCCTGTAGCTTCTGTCAGAAGAATGTTAAATAAATGTTGTTAGGCCTCTGTGATCTCATTAGACTGCTACTTGTAATTGTAAGGGAAGTAAAGCATTAGAGCAGTGTGAAATTAAATGATTAACACAGGTGGGCATTTCCTTGCTGTTGTTTATTAACTTTAACTTACCCACTGTTTTTTTATAAGGGCTCCCGCCTGTAGTCTGGGCCTGGCTTCATCATGGAGTTATTTGCTTAATTGTAAAATGGCAATTTTAATTTTTTTTTGAGACAGGGTCTCACTCCGTTGCCCAGGCTGGAGTGTGGGGACATTTGATAAGAAACTTCAGTGAAGGCTGCGCATGGTGGCTCATGCCTGTAATCCCAGCATTTTGGGAGTCCGAGACGGGTGGATCACCTGAGGTGGGGAGTTCCAGACCAGCCCAACCAACATGGAGAAACCCCGTCTCTACTAAAAATACAAAATTAGCTGGGCGTGGTGGCACATGCCCGTAATCCCAGCTACTCCGGAGGCTGAGGCAGGAGAATTGCTTGAACCCGGGAGGTGGAGGTTGCGGGTGAGCCGAGATTGCGCCACTGCACTCCAGCCTGGGCAACAAGAGCAAAACTCCCTCTCAAAAAAAAGAGAAACCTCTGTGAAATGGAAGACTGAACTACACACCTGGGGGAAAAGCCTAATAAAGGGAGCAAGAAGTGCAAATGCCTGTGGCAGGGGACTTGTTTGAGGAAAGAAAGAAGCCTTGTGTGGCTGGTGCACAGTCGAGAAGAAGAGATGAAGTCAGAGAGGCAGTTAGGGTCCATGTTCTGTGAGACTTCAATAGGCCTGTCTATGCAGGTTAGGAGTTTGCATTGTTTTGATTGAGTTGGGGAGCCATGGGGGTCTTCTGAACCAAGGACCAACACATCTGACTTGTTAATGAGATTGTTGGCCTCAGTGTTGAGAATGGACCATAATGGGGTAAGGCTGGAAGTCGGGAGGCCATTGGGAGGCCGTTGCAAAAAATTCAAAGGAGAATTACGGTTTGACCAGGTGGTAGTGGTAGAGGTTGTGAGCAGTGATCTTGAAGGCAGAGCCTACAGAATATGCTCGTGGATTAGATGAGGGGTTTGAGAGAGAGAGAAACCTCTTAAAGGGTTATTATGCCAAGGCTTTTGGCCTGAGCAACTGGCAGGATGGATTTGCCATCAACTGGGCTGAGGATATCTAGAGATTAGATTGAGGGAGGTGAGAGTGCAGAGGGATTAGGACTTCTGTTTGGGACATGTTAAAATGGAGATGCCTCTCAGATAATCAGGTGCAGATGTTGCATAGAAAGTAGAAAATGTAGATCAGGAGTTCAGAGGAGAGGTCTGGGCTGAAGAATGAATATTTGGGAGTCCTCAGCCTGTAGATGGTATTGAAAGCAAAGAGACTGGATGTACTTGGCTAGGGAGTAATTGGAGATGGAGAAGTCGTTCTAGGCGTGAGCTCAGGGCACACCCATGAACAGGGAGGTGAGAAGTGGAGAAGGGAAGCGGTTCGGTTTTGGATATGTTAGGATTGAGGTGCCTGGCAGACATTTCTGGGAGATCCTGGGCAAATTCTTGGATATCCAAGTCTGACAGTCCAAGGTGATCGGGCAAAAGATACACTTTGAGAGGTCCTCATGAAGGCATTTAGAGCTGAGGCACTCGGTGATATGGATTCCTGTGAAGGTGTAGATGGAGAAGTGGAGGGTCCAGGGACTCATTCTTTAGTCACCCCAGACCCTTGATCGGGCAACAACGAGAGTGACCCAGCAAGGAGGGAAAGATAGGACGACTAGGTGGTAGATAAACCTGGAAGTGAAGTGAAGAAAAAGGTGTAAGATGTGATCAACCTTGTCGGATTCTGCTGAGGATGCAAGTACGAGGAAGGTGGAATTGACCCTTGGGTTTGGCAACAGTAGGTGTCAGCCATGAGCCTGACAATGTGGTGGAGGCAAAAAAGCCGGGTGGGGATGGGCTCAGGGGAGGGGAGAGGAGGAGTAGAGGTGGCAAGTGTGGATGGTTCTTCTGGAGCTTTGCTGTTGGAGAGGAGGGGGTCATGGTTAGCAAAGATAATACAATAAAGAGGACTATTTTATTTTATTTTATTTTTTTTTGAGAAAAAGTCTCACTCTTGTCCCCCAGGCTGGAGTGCAATGGCATGATCTCGGCTCACTGCAACCTCCGCCTCCTGGGTTCAAGCGATTCTCCTGCCTCAGCCTCCCGAGTAGCTGGGATTACAGGTGTGCGCCACCACGCCCAGCTAATTTTTGTATTTTTAGCAGAGACGGGGTTTCACCATGTTGGCCAGGCTGGTCTCGAACTCCTGACCTCAGGTGATCTGCCCGCCTCGGCCTCCAAAAGTGCTGGGATTACAGGCGTGAGTCACCATGTCCGGCCTAAAGAGGACTTTTTTAAGGTAGCAGGTATGCCAGCAGGCTGCACAGGGATGGAAGTGATCCGTTAGAAGAGAGATGATGGAGCCGCAAGACCATCAGGAGTGAAGACTCCGTGTGAGAGAGGATGGGATGCAGTGCCCAAGGGGAGGTTGGCCTTGCGGGGAAAGCACACGTCTGGCCCTCCCTCATTAGCTTCATTTGGACAAAAAGTGTAAAATCCTGTGTGTTGTGGAGGCCTTTTGATCAGGGAACTGTAACGCTGCCTATCAAGCAGCAGCACTTTAAGCAGGTGGCTTTGTTCAAATTAAAGGTTCTTCTTTTTCTTTTCAGGCATCATGGACCGATCTAAAGAAAACTGCATTTCAGGGCCTGTTAAGGTAAACTGAATAATCTGTAATCTCATTCACATTTATAAACCCACATGGAGGTTGGTCTTGTTGGGAATTCTTTCCACCTTTACTTTGGATTATAAATTTAGATCCCTTACTGTGCTCCTGGATATAAATTCGTCACTTTTCTTGTGTGCGGTAACATTTTGCTGATTCTTAGAGTAGCTTTTTTGTTCTGCTTTGTCTTATAATTGGCTGCTTAAGTTTCTATATCCCTCTGTTGTATGCAAGATAATAGTAATAATGCATCCAGCAGGAGTCCAAAACTTTTAAAATTGGCCATAAATATAAAATAATTAGAAAAGGCTACCTTGAATTACTGTTTTTGATTCTCAGTTCCTATGATAACGGCTATTTAAAAAATTGCTCTACATTTAAAATGTTTCTTTATATTTGTCTTTGAATGCCTACTATGTTGTGGACAGTGTACTAATTTCAGGAGTAACTGACTTTGAATTTGGAAGTCTTAACACCCTGTCTTTGTAGAGCACTCATACCATTGAGCTGGGGATGGACTTTTAGGCTTTCATTTCTAGCACTTGCCCCTCACTTACAATGAGCTGTTGAAGCTGGAGGAAATCTCATCCCTCCTACCCCTTTTAGTTTGATTAGCTCAGGGTGTTAGAGTTAACTTAACTATTTAAGCTTGTAATACAGTACTTACAGGCGTATAAATAATACATTTCAAGGCTCACGCCTGTAATCCCAGCACTTTGGGATACCAAGGCAAGTGGATCACAAGGTCAGGAGTTCAAGACCAGCCTGGCCAAGATGGTGAAACCCCGTCTCTACTGAAAATACCAAAAATTAGCCAGGCGTGGTGGTATCGCCTGTAGTCCCAGCTACTTGGGAGGCTGAGGCAGAGAATTGCTTGAACCTTGGAGGCGGAGGTTGCAGTGAGCTGAGATCATGCCACTGCTCTCCAGCCTGCGTGACAGAGCAAGATTCCATCTCAAAAATAATAACACATTTTAGTAATAACTTTTTGAAGTGCCTACATTTGTTTCCTTTTTGTCACAGTTTTTTGCTCAAGTCCATTTTGTCAATACTTGGAAAATGAAACATTGGTTAATTAATAGTATAGTAATAAGCTTATTGTGGAAAATCCTGGCCATATGAAAACTTAGACTCTTCCAAAACTTCATGAAGATAACCAATGTTGAACGTTTTGACAGATTTTTTTTTTTGGTCTTTTTCTTAAATGTATATTATCAAAGAAATTTAAATGGAATTGAGATTTTGTCATAAAGTTTTTGTATCATAGCTTTTTGCCAAATAACAATTTAGTGTCTATTTCCAAATTATTGAGAAATTCTAGGAAGTGTTTGTCTCCTTCAGTAATGGATATTTGTTAATAAAGCATGATTTTTAGGGGTGAGGAGTTGGAGGGGGTAGAAAGTATCATTCGGGTATTCTTAGCCACATACTAACTATCCTCTGGAAGTACTGATTAAAATACCTTTTCCCCTTCCATCTCTTATCCGTGACATTCATTATTTTGCTATACTAGAGAACAAACTTTGTGAAATTCTCAAAATATTCATCTTTTGCGTTCACGAATACCAGAAAGTTTATTTTCTCTTCCATTCTAGCCTGCAGCTCCAGTTGGAGGTCCAAAACGTGTTCTCGTGACTCAGCAATTTCCTTGTCAGAATCCATTACCTGCAAATAGTGGCCAGGCTCAGCGGGTCCTGTGTCCTTCAAATTCTTCCCAGCGTGTTCCTTTGCAAGCACAAAAGCTTGTTTCCAGTCACAAACTGGTTCAGAATCAGAAGCAGAAGCAATTGCAGGCAACCAGTGTACCTCATCCTGTCTCCAGGCCACCGAGTCATACCCCAAAGAGCAAGCAGCCCCTGCCGTCGGCACCTGGTAAACTAGCTTTTGAGACTCATTGGATAGTCATTCTTTGTCGTTGTTGCTAAAAAAGCAAGTGTATATTACTTGCAGTTACTGTTTGGAGCCTTAGCTTTTATATCTGTTGAGGATGGGGAGAAAATATGGTGTCTGGGTTGAAGTAACAGTGTCTGCCCATGGGCCAGATCTGTGCTAAAAATACAGACCTGATTCTCACTCTCTTGGAAGAGTGGGGCACCCAGGGAGGACACAGCACCAATTGGTGTCCTTTTGATTGCTTGTTAGTGGGTCTGGATGTAGGGTGTTTGTAGTAAGTGACTTGAGGGACTGAGATCTAAAGTTTGGGGGAAATCCAGAGAAGTGGATGAACTGAGGCAGGCTGCGGTGAGGTCACCATGGGCATTGCTGGCCATGGTAAGGAATGGGGCCTCATCTCTAGGGCATTTGGAAGCTACTGAAGGTTTTTTGAACTTAGAAGGGAACTTTGCCTTTTAGAAAGTTTACTGTGGAAGGCCGGGCGTGGTGG